CCTATTCAGTGTGGGGGGTGAAGGCAAATTCTGGCGCGCTAAGACCCCCACCCCTTGAGATCCAATCACCAACAGCCAGACGGTCGCCCACCCCTTGAGATCCAATCACCGACGCAGAACACACCCTACCCCTACTCCTTAAAAACGCGCTTCCTTACCCACGAGCTGCTGCTCCGTCTCTCTGGGGGCAGGTGTTTTCTCTTTCAGTAATAAAATCTCTTGTGTGGGCCCGTGTCTCCTGAGTCGTTGTGGGGTAAGAAGGGTCACGGCGAGATACCCTTTCAGGGGGGACTATATGAAGGCATGAATGCCAGGAGGCTAGGGTCACTGGGCCCGTTTTGTGGCTGGCTACCACAGGCTGGATAACAGGTCCGGTACTACAGGGAATCCTGGCAGGGGAGGGGTCGTGAAGGAAGAGTCCTGGGAAGGGCGGAAGCTTGGGGCATATTCGGTTCCAGGGCTGCCGTAACGGGGACCACATAGTGGATGCATTAGAACAACAGAAATGCAGTATCGCGGTGCTGGCAGGGTTGGTTCCTTTAGGAGGCTGTAAGGGAGAGTTCCTTCTCTGCCTCTCTCCTGGTTTCTGGTGGCTCCCGGAAATCTTTGGCGTTCCTTGGCTTGTAGCTGCCTCACTGCAGTCTCTGCTCTGTCTTCATATGGCCATCTTCCCTGTGTGTGTGTCTCCAACCTCCTTCTCCTTTCTCTTATAGGGACATTAGTCATTGGCTTTGGAGCCAACCCTCAATCCGGGATGATCTCATCCTGAGACCCTTAATTATATCTGCAAAGACCCAGTTTCCAAATAAGGTCCCGGGGTTGGACATGGACATTTCTTTTGGGGGACACTATTCAACCCGCTACAGGAGGCATCCCCATGGAGGGACTGGTTGATGCCATGACCCAATACCTCCGTCTACTTTGGCTCATGTGCCGCCTCTTCTAGGGAGTCTGCTACCTCTCCACTGTGCCCTGCAGCACCTGTGCCTGCCACCATCGCTTCCATCATTCCTTCATCTAACACTTACCGAGCACCTACTCTATGTCAGGTACCAAGTGAGGTCCCAGGGGTACAGCATCAGTTGCCCAATGCAGCATGCAAAAATACTGGACACCCAGTAAGATCTGAATACTCACAGGTAGGGATTAATAACACATTTACAGATAAAGAGCAAGTTTGACTCTGTCCCGTGTCATTGGACCTGGCAACCCCGACAGCCGTGGAGGAGAGAAGCGCAGCTCCCAGCAGCAGAGCACACCTGCGGTTTTACGGGGCCGATGGCAGGGCATTGAGTGGGGGTCCCTGGCCAGGCCAGCAGGAGCCAAACAGCCTGGAATCCCTAACCTTGAAGGCTGGAACCTCAGAGGGCTTTAACTGGCTTGACCAGATGTGCATTTTACAAAATGGGGGATGTGTGGTGTCACAGATGCCAAGGGAAGAATGGTGTTTTGGGGAAGAAGGAACAAATAACAGGCCAGATGTTGCATGGAGGTCCAGACAGGTAATGACTGAGACCTGTCCCTTGGAGTCAGTCAAGCTACTGTAGCATCTGGGAGAGGCTTTGGTGGGACGGTGGGAGCAGAAGCCAGGCTGCAGTGGGCTGAGGAGTGAGTGGCAGGAGAAGCAGGGAGGTAGAGACAGTACAGGTCACTTTCTCCAAAAGTTTTTGAGCTGGGGATGACGCCCAGAGAGCAAGTGGAGCTGGGGAGGAGCCTGAGGGAGGGAGGGATGACGGCAGGGAGGGCCCCTAGGGGATGAGGCCCAGGGTGGTCTGGCCCCGGAGGAGGTTCTGCTCCCCAGGTGGCAGGAAGGGGTGGGTGCCACACATCCAGATTCTTTTGGGGAAATCCAGGTTCTCCCATCTGCCAGCTGATCCCAGTGCAAAGTCTGCCTCTCCTCAGCTGGGCTGTGGCTGCCGCCCTAGGCTCCGCTGAGCAAATGAATGGAGAGTTGGGAGTGGTTCTGGGCTGTACGGTGAGGAGGACAAAGCACAGCCTTAGGAAGAGTCTTGGGAGAAGAGGAGTCCAGGAAGGAGCAGGGGAGACGGGGGAGACAGTGTCCAGTCGGGAGGGCTCAAGGAGGAGGAGGGTGAGAAGGGCGCCGGGCGACCAGATGGGAGCTTCAGGGAGTGGCTGGTGAGGCAGTGTAGACCACCTGGCTAGTAGGAGCAGATGTTTGGTAGGGAAAGGACGAAGGGAGGGGCAGGGTGGGGAGGTGTACTTTTGTCTGTGGGAGGGAATTCCTTCCTGCCCCAGGCCATGCCAGGCACCTGCCCCCATCCCATCTCATTAATCTCATTTAATTCTCACAACCCCCTGGCAGGTGAGGCCGATGAGGAGGAGGATTGCTGTGGGCAACCTCACTATAGACATAAGGAAACTGAGTCCCAAGATTTGAGGCACCTTGCCTAAAGCTACAAAGCCCCTAAGTAGCAGAGAGGGAGTCTAAACCCAGGTTTATCTGACTCCAAAGCAGGTAGGCTCTTGGTCAGCACACCTGGAGACTAGGAAGCCCTGAGTTGACCAGAGCCCATAATCGGGTGCAGCCCCCAGGCAGGACACTGCTGTGGGACAGCAATAAGGCGTTAGGCATTCTCAGGCCTCTCAGGGGCCCAGATGATGTCACCGCCCCAAGGGACTAGTGGGCTCACCTTGCAGGCTTTGTGTGGTGTTGGGCAAATTCCAGCGGCCTCGGGGAGGGCGGACCCAAAAGTGGGAGTGGCAGAAGAGACAGGGCACAAGGCAATTGTGGTGCCAGGCATCTGTTCCCTGAAACAGCTGACCGTGAAGTTCAATGTGGGTAAAGAGACAAGAGAAGCCAAAACAAGATGGGGGATTCATTCCCCCACTCCCACCTTGGCCCTCCTCCCTCTGTAAATGCCCTTGCCCACCCCTTCATTTTGCCCTGGCTCTGCAAATAACCAGTCCCTGGAAATTTCCCTGGAATCTCCTTCTCTACTGTTCCTTCAAGGGCAAGTTCAGATGTACAACTCCTTCCCGCCTTGGCCACCCTCCTCCCAACTTAGCTCCCTCTTTGGTCCCCAGAGTTCTGGCAACGAGATTTTCTGGCAGAGGAATAGGATGCAAGCTGAAGCTTCATCCTAGTGCACGCACCTACATTCTCTGGTCTTCTCTGGACCCATCCAGCTTTGATACTGTGTATGTGCTGAATGCCCTGAAATTTGTATCTCCTGCCCGGCCCTCTCCCCTGAGTTCCAGACTCTGATTATTCCACATCTCCATGTAAATGTCTAAAAGACATCTCAAACCTGACATGGCCAAAACTGAATTCTTGATCTTACCCACCCATATCCGCAACCTTGCTCTTTTCAAAGTCGTGCATATCTCAGGGGGCACCACTCCATTTTTCCAGTAGCACAAGTTAAAACCTCGAAGGAATCTTACTGTTTTCTTTCCCTCACACCCCACACGCAATCTGCCAGCAAGGCCTGTTGGCTCTACTTTCAACTGGCGTCCGGGTCTTCTGCCACCTCCACAGCCACCCACCTGGTGCAAGCCACGCTTGCCTTGGTTACAGCAGTGGCCTCTGCGCTGGTCCTCCTTTGACCTTGCCCCGACACTCTCTCTCAACCCAGCAGCCAAATGGTCCTATGAACACATAAGCCACCCCTACTACTCTTCCAGTTAAACCCTCCAATGGCACTCCAGCTGGTTCTAGTCCCAAAATCTCTCAAAAAACCTACAAGCCCGAAATGAACCTCTTCTTACCTGATTTTACCTCCTGTTCTCCTAGTGGTCTGCTCTGCTCCAGCCCCATTGTACTTACTTGTCCCTCACACATTCCAGTCATGCTCCTGCTTGGGGTTCTTATACTAACTGCTCCCACCACCGCCCCTGCCTGCCTGGAATGCCCTTTCCCAGATGTCCTCATGACTTGTTCCCTCACCTCCTTCAGATGTTGGCCTCTTTGCCTTCTCTAAGAATCCTGATTAGAACTCTAAACCCTGACATTCCCTAACCTCTTCTGTGCTTCATTTTCCTCCATAGATCCAATATGATCCAACATATTATGTTCTTTTACCTGTTTAGTTTATTATCTGCCTCCTCCTTCTAGAATACAAGTCCTATGAAGGCAGTGCATTTTCTGTTGTTTTCTTTCCTGCCTGGGACAATGGCTAGCCTATGGTAGGCACTCAACAAATGTTGCTTGAGCACCTGTTTGGGTCCACCACTTCCCGGAGCACTGGAGTTGGGATAGGGATGGGAACTGACCAAGTCTTCGAATTTAAGTCTTTGGCAGCGGTTGTGTAGTTTTCGCAAGTATGACCCTACCTGGAGAGCTCTTGGAAGAGAACACGCTGTCTCCACCCCCGGGGAGTCTAGGGTAGGCCCCAGGGGGTGCACAGCGCACTAGCTCCCCAGGTAATTCTCATGCAGGTCATGTGGGGGTCACACTGAGCTGCTAGGATAGACTGAAAGTCACATATTCACATTGTCCAAGACGCCTGATGTCTCGTTTTAACAGCACCGTCCATTCTCTGTGAAACAGTTGTTTCATGCCTGTCGCCCCCTCTAAATAGTGAAGTTTGGAACTGCGATGGCTGCTTGTCCCTCTCTGTGTTCCCTGGGCTCAGCACAGCATAGGTGCTAGTAAATGTTTATTGAGAAAGTGAATGAATGGGGAGAAAATGAATGGTTAGAAGATGGTGAATGAATAACGGGACTCTGGTTAGAAAAGGAATTTCAAGAGTTCAAAATCTGAAGGTGGGAACGTTTCCAGACTTCTGTGCCGAGGATTGCAGAGGAGCTGGAACCTCAGAGGTCGCGACGCGTGTGGTCATCTGTGAAAGCGGCTGCTGCGCCGGCTGCCCGGGCGGGCTGGGAGGTGCGCTGCGCAGGGGCGGCGCTGCCACCCACCCGATCGCCCAGCTGCGCGTCTCTCTACCCAACGCAGCCGTTGCCATAGCTACAGACACAGCCTGGCCGGGAGGGGGCGGGCCTGGGCGTACGTCATTCCCAGCGCGACGCTGCTCGTGCCTCCCGCCTCTTTTGGGTGCGAGACCCTCGGCCCGCCTTCCCGGCTCTCCACCTGCGCGCCCTCGCCCGCTCGCTCACTCCCCGGGCTCTGCGCCGGCGCGGTACCCGCCAGAGCGCGTGGGGAGCCGCGAGGCGCATGCGCGGTGCGGGGCCCGCCGCCGCTCTGGTGTCGCCGCTGTCGCTGTCGCCGCCGTCGCCGCCTCCCTGCCGGCAAGTGTGGGAAGGAGGAGCTGAGGGCCGCCGCCGCCGTTGCCGCCATGGGGGTGAGTGAGGCAGGGAGAGGACACACGAGGGCCAGGAGCGCTTCCCGTTCCCCTCGCCCCCTGCGCCCCCATTGTTCCTTGAGGGCCAGGAGCGCTTCCCGTTCCCCTCGCCCCCACCCTCCGGCCTCACGTGATCCCCAGCCCCCACATGACCGGACTCCCCCATTCTGTGTGTCCTCCCCGCTCTGCCCAGCCCGGGAATCCCCTGAGAACTCCCCTCTCCAGGCCCCACCCCCTCGGGGTCCCTGCTCCTCGCGTGTCGCCCGCCCTGCCTTCCTGGCTGCCCCGTTATCTTCTTGGCCTTCCCTACCCCCAGCGCGGTCCCAGGGGTAATCCCCGACCCCAGGGGTCAGCCATCACCTGGCTGTCACCGGCTTCTTGGCTTCCCATATCCTAGGCCAAGCCTGACTTGGAGGAAACTGAGTCCCAGAGAAAAGAAGGCACTCAGCCAAGGTCACTCAGGCAGTGAGGGGGGTCAGACCCAAACTGTGGTCTTCTGGATCCCGGGCCGATGCGCTTCCCGCTACTCGGATTCTCAGCGAAGCCGGTTCCGCCACACCCTTTGCAAACCTCTCCTAAAACATTTTCTTTCCCTTCCAAAGGAAAAGCCTCCTAGATGCAATGAAGTGGTTCTTATTACTTGGGTCGTTAGAAGTCTTAGTACTGCGCATGGCTTTGCATGGGGAAGGTGGGCAGGAGGCTGGTGGGGGACCACTGAGGATGACCCAGCTGCAGATGGATAGCGGCCACCTGTTTTGTGGAAGGTAGCCTGGGGATGCCTTTCATGCCCATCCCTGGCATGTGCTGAGAGAGGGTGGGCAGAAGTTATTCACGTTTCTGTTGAGTTCATTTTCTTAACTCCCAATGATAGCAGCATCAGTCACTCCTAGAAATGTAACTGGCCTGCCTGGTACTGTGTGTATCAGTTGTGACATGGAATTTCCACTACCTTTAGAGAGCCCTGACTTTGCAGCCAGAAATACCTCAGTTCCAGCCCAATTTTCTCTGGCTAACAGCATGTGTGATACCGTGCCAGTAACAAGGCTTTTCTGAATTTGAATTTCCTAATTTTTCTAATGAGGACGATGATACCTCCCCCTTAGGAAACAAGGGAGGATTAAATGAGTTAGTGGATGTAAGTAGCCAAGTAGTGCCTCTTAAATAGTGGCTGTTATTTTTACCTATACTCTCAGCCTTTTTACTTTAGTTATCTAAAATAGATTTGTGCTATTTTTAACCCATTGGGTTTAAACTACTGTTATTAACCTAGATTTTTTTCTCTCAGATAGTTGACTGGACAACTTGACTTGTTAGACAAAAATAGTTGCCTAATCCATGTCAAAGCACATTTCATTATGTTTCAACAAGGAATTTTGGATGCTTCGTACTTCCTATGTAGAAAAGCAAGTCCAAAGACCTTAGGCATAAATAACCTAGATTTTGGTGAAAGGTCCTCGACCCCAGCTTCTTTTGAAACGGTGTCTCCAGGATCACTCAGTAAGTGTCTACCCAGCATCAGCGACTACAGGCTGAGCATGAAACAAGAAGCATAGCCTGGCACTCTGGTTTGACACTTCCTCATCAGCTGAGCTGAAATAGCAGGCCTCAGAGATAATGTGATCCTTGCTTCCTTTAAGGCCCTGATGTTATTACTCATACATTACTGATGTGTTTCCCAGAATGGCCCCTGCCTCGTCTCTTCTGGCATAAACCTCATTTCAGAAAAGAGACTTGAGTGGTTACTCCCCGACACAGAGCTGGAAGCCTTGAATTGTCCATATTCCTCACGGGTGGGGTCTGTGGATTCCCATCATCTGTCAGGAAGGTCATCAGAAGGTTATCGTTCATGGTGGGCCCTACTCAGTGTGACAGCCTGGCCCCAGGCTACGTGAGAATGGCATCAGATGGAGCACCATTCTCTTCCAAGTTGTCTCACCCTTGCTGCCACATGTGTGTTGCCTTTTAGGAATTAGAATTTAGGTCTGTCTCTCTTTGCCAAAAACAGGTTCTTTTTGGATCCTGGGTACTTTGTGGGATGGAGGCATTGACACTGAAAAGCTAAGAAATACCATATCCCTTTTCTGGAAGTACTACTTGCCCCTATCTGGGTGTTTTATGTTTTCTAATTTCTCGATGGACCTCTGGCAGTCTCATAGAACTGCCTGTGGAGATACTACTTTGATAAGAATAGCAAGGGCAGGAGTTTCACAGTTGCATGTGAAAACAGCTTTGATGTCATACTTTATACGAACAGGTGACATTTAAGTGTAATTGATATAGTGGAAGAAGCATGGACTTCAGAGTTGAGACCTGGCTTTGAATCTTGGATGATTCATTCAACAGGTGTGAACTGAGTACCTGCTGTTCTCTAAGCATTGGGTGCTCAGCAGGTGTCCATAAAGCAGGTGTGACCTCCACCTCATGGAGTGTGTAGTCTGGTGGGATTGGAGGGAGGGGGTGGGCAGGAAGACCTGAGAATTCTCCTCACTGGCTTTGTGACCCTAAAGTTTTCTCACCTCTTTGTGCCTCAGTTTGCTCATCAAGGAAGTGGGCACATATAACTTGTCAAGTTATTGTAAAGATAAAGGTGAATCATCTGTTGAAGCACTAGCAGCATCTGATACTGGTGAATCCTCACTATAAAGAATTTTTATATCTAGTACACTGAATCATTTTGTCCTCACAACAGCCTGTGAGCCTAGGCATTGCCAACCCATTTTACAGATGAGGAAATTGAGGTTCAGAGAAACTGAGTAACTTGCTGAAAAGAGACTAAGTAACTTCCCAAAGTGACACAGCTACTGAGTGGAAGATCTGAGAATCAAATCCAGGTCTCTTGACTCAAAATCCCGCACTCTTTATTATATAAAGCTCCCTTGGGAAAGACACTTAACCACAATGAGCTCTGCTGCTCACTGCACTTATTTCCCATTTTAATTAGGAGAATTTCCTGTGTCCCTGCAGGATAGCCTTACCTCCACAAGGCAGGGCAGAGCTAATGGGAACAGTGGGAGACCACTTTTCCTGGTGTGCGCTAGGTTTGAGGGCGAGCCCCTGCCTGTCTGGCCCAGCCTCTGCAGCCCGCCTGACACCCTGTGTGCAGGCAGTGAAGCGCTAAAGGGCGTTTTCATTATCTATGGTCTCGGGCCATGGCTGCCTTCAGCCTCACTCTGAGGCTCTCCTGTTCCCCTGCATGAATGAGCCCATAAATCTCTTGGTGGCCCGGGGTTGGCCCTCCTGCTGCTTGTGCTTGGGAATTACTTCCTTCATGTGCTTAGAAATGAGATGCCGTGGAGGGAGCCCACGTTTCAGTGCTTTCTGGGTCCCGAGTCGCACTTTCCTTGTAGCACCTTTGTTCCTTCAGCTCTGTGTGGTGGTAAGAGAAAGCTAGCATGCAGGGTGGAGGACGGGAGCTTGCCTCCGCTGTGAAGGTGTGCTGACTTCTGACCTAGCCTTACAGCTGTTCCGGAAGCCAGCATTTGCATCTCCATTTTCCTGGAGATGGAGTTGCTTTTACAAGCAGGAGGAGCACTGGTCTAGCTCACTGATGCCAAAGCTCGTGTTCTTTCTGCCCCATTGCACAGCCCTGGAGACCTTCCTTCTGACGTTTCCCTGTTCCTTACCCCAACCTCAGTATGGAGGCAGGGCCTGGGGTGGCTCTGTATTGGCATGTCATGTCAGCTGTGACCAAGCCAGAAAGGCATTGAGAAATTGATTACCGAGTGGCTGCCTTGGCTCCTGAGGTCTCATCCTGACCTTATTTGGCAGGGCTGCCAAGGCCTTTGGCCCTGATGTAGGCTCTCCCGGTGGGAGCCAGCATGGCTGGTGGAACAAACACTGGAGCTGCAGCCCAAGCCCCAGGATTGAGTCGCCCCTCTGCCATCGACTCTCCACAGGACTCTGAATGAGTTACGCCATCCCTCTGAGCCTCACTTTCCTCCTGCGTAAAGGGAGGTGCAGTTTCTGCCCTGAGAATTGAACTGGATAGTGTTTGTGAGAGTACTGTGCAAGCTGAGTGGATCTCTTGATGTTGTCTTGAAACCCACCTTCCCAGAGAAAGATGGATGCTCTGAAACCTCTGTATGGTGGAGGGGCCCGTTCTCTCTAGAGCCCAGCAGCATGAAGACAGTCTGTTCTCTTCTGTCCTTCCTCTAGGGTGAGAAATGGGATCTAGCCTGGCCTCCAGCAGGTGCTTATCCTGCAGACAGTAAATGGCTGGTGTTGGGCAAGTTCATACCTAGGAGAGCAGTTCCTGTGAGTTCCTGGTATCAGAGCTCTCGTCTCCTGGTTGCTCGAAGTAGGATAGGAGTTAAGCGGTGTCATTCCTTGGGGAACCGAGGGAGGAATTTATTCTGAGAAACTTTCCCAGCAGCTGATTTTTTCATCTCACCCTTTCTGGGGCCAATCATTGGCAGGGCTAAGGTGTGATTGGGGGAAGTAAGTTCTCTCCAGTGGGCTCAGGGACCTGAGGTGGGAGGTGAGAAAAGCAGCACTGACTGCCATTGCCCATGCGTGTCTTCTGGCCTCGGGCTGGGTGGGCAAGCACCTCTGATGCACCTGCTGCTCTGGTCCTCCTTGCAGTGAGAATGAGGCTGTCATTTGTGAAGCACATGGCATATTAACCCTCATGGACTTACTCCTTCAGTGGGGTATTAAGGGCCCCGGAGGAAAGGGGCTCAGAGAGAGTCCTGAAGACCTGCAGGGACTGAGGAGCAGAAAGACCTTTGGATAAGGCCTGTTAGACTTCAGGGCCTGGGCTCTTTTCCCTGTTTAGCATGAGAGAGACCCACAAGAGCCTCAAAATCAGATCTGCTCTTGATGGGCAGTTCGCTGTTTGCCCCTCTATGCAAGGACAGCCCCCTCCTGTGAACCCTGCAACTTGGCCTTGCGGGCCATGTGTCGTGTGGAAAGCCTTCTGTCCCCAGGTGAACCCCTTGGGGCCCTTCACTGTGCCTTTGCTGCTACAGGGTGTGTGGTGTACCTGCCACTCACTGGCCTTCTGGGGGAATGACTCCGGCTCCTTAAGCCAGAGTGCCCTGGCCCTAGCCTAGAGGGGACCCAGCTGTAAAAGGGGCTACCACCAGACCAGGTCTTTGTCTCCTGATGCTGGAATTCACTGAGAAGACTTTGAATACACTTATACTGAGGAACAGTATCAGTGGCTACCTCAGCTGCCAGCAGCTCCCTGAAACCTGGCCTGAATGTGTCTAAAATGAGTTTCCTCTTTAGGAGGAAATGGATGAATGAATATTTATTAGTCACCTGCTAAGCGCCAGGCTCTGCTGCAGGCATTGTCATGTGCTCTCACAGGGTACTCCAGTGACCCCACAGTCCCTAAGGTCAGTGTTCTTCCTGACAAGGTAGCCGAGAAATCTAGTGATGCTCCCAAGGTCTCATGTCCACACACTTGGGTCTTTCCCATCCCATCAAGTGTGTGGCAGCCACGATTGGAAGTTCCTGCCACCAAGGCCAGGCCCGTGGATGCAGAGACAGACCCTTCGGTTCCTCCAAAGGAAAGTCAAGTCTTTGGTTGGCCACAGCCCTTCCAGCCAACTTTGCTTTTCCCTGTTGCAGAGGAAGTCAAGCAAAGCAAAGGAGAAGAAGCAGAAGCGGCTGGAGGAACGAGCAGCCATGGATGCTGTCTGTGCCAAAGTGGACGCCGCCAACAGGGTGACTTTCTCCTCCCTCCCAGTCCCTTCCTCTTGGAACTTGAGCTTGGTTTTTAATTTGGCTTCTTTTGGCGCCACCCTGTGGCCAAATTGTATTACCCACCCTCACCTCTGTGGCCTTGCTGCCAAGGGAAAATGATCCCAGCCTGGAGAGTTGCAAGGAAGGCCAGCAGGGAAATGTGGATTCAAGTGGAGATGGCTGCTTGTCTCCGTGGGTCTCCTTCCTTACTAGGAGAAGGCCTAGAGAACTTTTTGTTAGGATTTTGCATTTTGGAGAGGAAACCTCCTTGGTAAAATGTGGTAGTTTTCCCACTCATTTCTTCAAACATTTACTGACTTCCATAAACTACCAGAGGCTTTGCTGGGGCCAGGGGGTGTAGCATCCTGGTATCAAGGGGCCACAGTTGGGAGGCGTGGCCATGAGCCCCAGATGGCCCAACTGGGAAGGGGACAAAGCTGAACCTGAGAGTCTCGTCCTACCTGCCCTAGTCCATATCCCATTCTCTGTTATGCTTTCTGCCCACTCAGTAAACAGTCCGCGTAAGGATGTGGCTCAGGGACATGATTATTCCATTTTGGGTTTTGCCCAGGGGAGGTTGGCAGGGGGATTCCTGGAGGTATGCAAGTGGGGAGCCAGTAGCTTCCCTTCTTTGGGTCAGGTGAGCGGTGAGCAGGCTTTATGCCCACAGGCCAGTAATGGTATTGGACTAGGAAAGACTCTTTGTACCCCGTCGAATGAAGCTAACTGAGCTCTCTTTGGTCTCTTTACCAAAGTTGCCCCACCTGTGATTTCAGAGCTGAAGCAGATGGAGGGCCCTCCAAGGGCTGCTCCTGGGCCCAGGGCTGGGCCTTCCCATGTGGGCAGTACAGCGTCGCATTTGAGAGGGAGCTTGCTACCCTGCCCTGCGTGCACCTGTGCTACCCTCTCTGCTTTCCCTCCACAGCTTGGAGACCCTTTGGAGACTTTCCCAGTGTTCAAGAAATATGATCGAAATGGGTGAGTGTTTAGTTATTCCTACTGTTGTCTCCTTGAGTGTCTTCAGGAACCCACCTTTCCAGAGTAGGCTTCCTCAGACCCAAATTTTCTCATTCTTTGTCATGATCTGAAAAAGTAGAACTATGGCTAATTCCTGTTGATATGAACCCCTGCCCTTGGATTGATAGAAGGATCCATAAATGAGCAAAGATTGCATAGTCCTGGACTGATGTCTCTTTAAGACTTGGTATTCTCTGCAGATGAAGAATCATAGAACTGAAAAAAACTTAAAAAGCCATCTAGGCTGACTCCTTATTTTATATAGGGGAAACTGAGGCTGAGAGAAGTTGAATGGGATTTCTGAGCTTCAGACTTCCTCCCTGGCAGCTGAGGGAGCTTTTAATTCCCAATCTGGTGCTCTTTTCCTGAGTACATAGTATAATTATTAAAAGCCACTTACACGCTGTGCAACCCTGGACAAATTACTTAACCTCTCTGTGCCTCAATTTTCTAATCAGAAATGGGTCTAATAATAGTATCTTCCTAATGGAGCTGCCAGGATGATTAGCTGTAAAGCATTAGCACCTGGAGTATACAAAAAGCTAGGTCAATGTTAGCTGTTATTACTAATCCAGTTTACTGTATGATCTGGATTAAAACCCTCCTCCCCCTTCTGTCCTTTAGGTTTATAAAATAGAAAGCATAATCTGTTTTACCAGAGATGCTTTTGGCTTAGGGAAAACGGGTTATGGTTTTAGAGAATCATAGCTATAGTTTAAATCAGAACTGTGCCTCATATTAACTACATTTGGACAAGTCACAGCCTCTTTTTTTTTTTTTTTGGTATCATTAATGTGCAATTACTTGAACAACATTATGGTTACTAGACTCCCCCTATTATCAAGTCCCCCCCACATACCCCACTACAGTCACTGTCCGTCAGCGTAGTAAAATACAGCCTCATTTTTTTATCTGTTAAATGGGGTGGTGATGCTGAACTTGCAAGGCTATTTTAAAGAGGAGAGAATCTGTCCAGTTCTGTAAGTAGTAGCTGGTGTATTTTAATGAACAAGATAGACAATGCAAACACATGAACTATGAAGCACAGCCTTTAGTGGCTGACACTGTTTGCTTTTTGTAGCTATCTGAATTTCATAGCTTCACACTGGTTTTTTCTTCTTCCTGTCTGACCAGATGCATTATGGTTCCTCTAGTAGCTTTGTCATTCAACCTCTGGGAAGTCCTTTGACATTGTTGATAGATCCCTTCCTGTGATGCTCTTAGTGTTCTGTGTTCCACATTCCCATTGACTTCCAGATAAAATGGAACAGCTCTGAAGCAGGCATTGCCAGCTGGCTCTGGGCTCCATTGGTGCCTGGGATTTTGTGTGGTCTGTGTGCCTGTGATCCTACTTTCATGTACTTAAGGAGCTCCAATTAGTGGAGAATTTATACCTGTAGACCAGCCTTTGGAAAATACATAACTAAGACAAAGGTAGTGCTGTGTTTGGGCATTTCTGACTGCTCCATGGTTCCTACTTAAAAAGAAAGGAAGACTTTTCAGAGCCAAGAAGTTCCAAACATATAAGGCTGAGCCCATGAGCAGCTCACGTGATAAGCCAGCCAAGAGGGGATGGTGGATTCCAATGGGAATGTCCTCTGAGGGGCAGTGTCACAGGCCGCTGGGATGTATTGATATGGGAGCTCTGTGAGGACTTAAGAGTTGTTGGCCTCAGTCAGTCCTTTCAAATGTGGCACCACCTAGAGGACATAATTTCAGTTTGGCCAGTTAGTTTAACTGTAATTTACTTAAATTTCATTTAGAAGTAAATAGATCAAGATGCCTTAGCACCTACGACATTTGTTAGTTTAGGAAACAGCGTGGGGTCAGACCCTGTTCAACCCTGTTTGATCAGCCCAGAGCACCTTCTGTGTCCTCAGAGGAGGCCGTAGGCAGGGTTCCCCAGCGGGGGCAGGGGCCGTGGTCATCCCGAAGGGCCTGAGATCACCCAGCTGCTTTTGAAGGCGAGATTGGTAGATAAGAAGGAAGGGGTCCCATGGGAGCTCCAGGAGAAGTCAGGTCAGAAATTAAAGCAATAGGCAAAATGCCTAAGGGTAGAGATTAAGGGAATAGAGACCACTCAAGCGTTATAGCAAAGTACAGAAGGGAGGGTGGAGAGGACAAAGAGGTAGCAGAGGGGGATAGAAGTTGACAAAGTGCCAAGCCGATAAGGGCTGTGCAGGGGAAGCAGGAAATGGGACTTGAGGTCAGGGCGGTGGGCTGGTGATGACAGCTGTTAATCTCGCCCTGAAAGGCTTGGTTCCTTCACAGGCACCTTCTCTAGTTAGGGTTGGGAAGGCAGGGTATAGGCTTGGTTTTTCTCTGTAGATTAACCGATACCACACGTGCTTTGCTTTCAGACTTTCAGGGCAGCCTGTGGCTGTCCCCAAATGCCTCCTTTTCCTCTTCTCAGGTTAAATGTCTCCATTGAATGTAAGCGTGTATCTGGACTGGAGCCAGCCACCGTGGACTGGGCCTTTGACCTGACCAAGACCAACATGCAGACCCTGTAAGTGCTCCCCGCCCGGAGGGGAGCCTCATTCTTCCCCAGGCTGTCTTCCGTCTCCGGAGTTCCCGGTCCTGACTGCCCCCACATTCCCCAGGTATGAGCAAAGTGAGTGGGGCTGGAAGGACCGAGAGAAACGGGAGGAAATGACGGATGACAGAGCCTGGTACCTCATTGCTTGGGAAAACAGTTCCGTCCCTGTTGCCTTTTCTCACTTCCGGTTTGACGTGGAGTGCGGGGATGAAGTCCTGTACTGGTAGGCACCCCAGCTTGGGGGTGGACACTTCAGTCGAGGGCCCAAGCCCCCTGCCTTCCTGGTTCTGTGGGGCCAGGGGCTGCAGGCTCCTCTGACAGGCCCTGCTGCTTCCGCACGCTCACTTCTCTGCTTTCTTCGCCCAGCTATGAAGTGCAGCTGGAAAGCAAGGTGCGGCGGAAAGGCCTGGGGAAGTTCCTCATACAGATCCTGCAGCTCATGGCCAATAGGTAAGGGCCTCCCCTTGCGTCAGTCAGGCGGAAGGAGCTGCCCCCGAAGCATGCACTGGTCTTTGAGCCTCTGTGGGGGAACAAGGCACAGAGGAAGGTGGTGAAAGGCAAGTAGAACGCAGTCAGTAGGAAAATCCCTGCCCTGCTGTGACTCCAGAATATGTGCGTTTGGCTCAGTGCAGCAAGCACTTCTCAGTACCTGTTCTGTGCCTGAATAACTGGGATGCAGAGGGTAAGTGGAAAAGAAGTGAGACAGGTGGAGGGCCTGGTGCCTGTGCAGTCTGATCAGCCGCATTTACCGGTGCTATGGGTGCTCAGGACAGAGGCTAGAGTTGGGCTGAGGAAGCTTCTCAGGAGCAAATGGGAGACAGCAGGCAGAGAGAGAGGAAGCATGACTTAGCATCTGTTTCTCTTTCTAGAAGTGCTCTCTCTTTCTTCTCAGCACACAGATGAAGAAAGTTATGTTAACAGTATTTAAGCACAATCATGGTGCCTACCAGTTCTTCAGAGAAGCACTGCAGTAAGGAGCTGGGCCCTGGCGTGGAGCCCAGTGGGCGGTAGGAGGTGCCTGCCCTGGCACCTTCTTCCTGGTCATGGCCCCATTCATCCTGACATCTGAGTGGGCCAGTGGTCTTTTGGGGTTGGGGACTGGGGACATGGCATGGGAGTGTCCTCTGGTTTGGTCCCTGCCCTCCTCTGCATCCTCATCCCTGGGGTTCTCACGACTGTGGCTCGTGGGAAAGTTCTCAGGCCAGGAGGACAGCAGTGGCCGCCTGCACCGACCCTTTCTTTCTGCCCGCCCTGCAGATTTGAAGTCGACGACTCCTCACCTAGCATGTCCGGTTGCTGTGGGGAAGACTGCTCCTATGAGATCCTGAGCCGAAGGACCAAGTTCGGGGATAGCCAACACTCCCATGCAGGCGGGCACTGTGGAGGCTGCTGCCACTGAACTCCCAAGCCAGAATGCCCTCTCCAAGGCCTGTCCTCTCCTCCGGTCTCACACCACGTGCCAGGCATCCTCAGAGCTAGGGCCTCCTCAGCCCTGCGTGTGCCAGGCTGCACCCTGAGAGCACAGAATCCTGGGAGGAGTGGTCCGAGCTGCCCCCCTCCTGTCTCCTAGAAGAGCAGAGTGCTGGAGGGCACAGAGAGGAGAGGTTGCTGAGGGAAGAGCTAGCAGAACTCGGGCATGAAGTGCATCCTCTCATGGCTGCCTTCCCCTCGGCTCTTGTACCCTTGAGCGTAAGGTTCCCCAACTTCTCTGCAGCTGGATTCCTGACAAGCCCCCTGCCACACCCCTGGCAAAAAAAGAAACCCCCCACATACTTGCACAAATGGATTGTTTATACCCACCTTTATGAAAGTCCTGGAGCCTTGGATTGGGGTCTGGCTGGTCCCCAAAGAGGAGTGGACTCAATGTAAGATCGGAGCATAGAGGGAAGCTCATGTTGCGTGGACAGAATGCGCCAATGGAGGCTGTGGGAAGGTCTTCTGAGCCATGACGCAGGGACGCAGGGGAGCTCTTTGTATCTGTGTTCATCGGTCCACAGTTGGAGTGGAGTCATCCCAGGCGCCAGCTGACTCCAGGAGGAAGGCTGCCTCCCGCTTTCCCTCGCTGTCTGAGGGGCTGAGGGCCGGGAACAAGGCACGGAATGGGGCCTGGCCGCATGGGGGCGATGCTTCTCTGGGCTTTTGGACTTGGCTGCATTCTGAGCTTAACCTCTTGATCCCATGGCAGCGATTCGAGTTTTTTATTCATAGAAAAAAGCCAGAGGTCCTGCCTGACCCTCCCCATTGCCCCACACCACTCTCTGCCCTGCCTCTCACCCTGACCCCATATACCTCGGTTCGTACTCCAAAGCAGGGAATAACATCAGGGAGCCCCTCATCTTACCCAGAAGGCCCCCTAATTCCTGGCTGTTTAATGCCACTTCCTCTCATATCTTGGTGCTGATAGCTCTCTGAAGGTGGGCCTCCCTCCCCACCATCACCTGCCCTCTTCAGAGAGCCCCCAGCCAGCAGCAGGCCTCCTGGCCCGCACCCCCCAGCCTCCCGCTCACCGCCTCAGTGGGGCAGCAGTGTCCTGCCCTGGCCGGCTGCTCAGGCTGCAGCAGGGAGGCCTCTCGGGGCCGAAGAGTCGCTTTGCTCTGGAGTCACCCTGTGGCAGCAGGCTGGAGCAGGGGAGAAGAAGGCCTTCCTCCCCTCTCATGGGACAGAGAGGGCACAGGGTCAGAGCCTGTCCTTGCCCTGGTCCCCTTCCAGGGAAGAAAATGACCAAATCCTTACCCAGGAAAAAGCACCTACTGCCTCCCTTTGGACGTCCTTGACCTCTGCCTTAGGGACTGTCTTCAAGGTTTTAGCCTTTGTGAAGTTGCCCTTGTGGAGGTCCGTCCGTCTGACCTCAGAGTATGCTCCCACCCACCCTCTGCCCTGCCTCAGGCAGTCTGTGCTCGGGGAACGTCCCCAGATTCCTGCTCACACAGGGGCCTGTGCCCACAGCCTCCTCCACCGGCCAAGCCCTCTGCGTGGCTCCTGACTCCTCCAGCCGTGCCATGTGGCACTCCCTGGGAGAGGGCCTTGCAGCCTTACACTGGAATAGCCCACCCTTGCTCCTACCCTGCTGGCCCCCAGGGGATTTTACCTGAAGGGAGAATTCTCTTTACTGGGAGGGCATTGGTGGGCTCCCAAAAATCATGGAATGACAGACCCATGTTTAGGAAGTTTTTCCTCTAATCTCTGTCTCAGACACAGAATGATGAATATTTACTGTCTTAGAGCATGGATTTCTGATACCTCCCACTCAAGGGGACCAAAAGGAACTCCCCGTGTAAATCCACATAAGGTGAGTTCAGTGTATGTTGTCTCTTTCCACTCAGGGGATGCCTGGCACCCAGCCCACTGGTAGGCGGGGTACTTGGGGCCATGCCCTGCCCGTCCAGCCTCTGTCGGCCACTTCCCCGAGCTGCTGAGGAGGCGGGGGCCGGCGGGGGCAGCGCTGCCTTGAGACCAGCAGGTTGTTCTCTGTTGGTGTTGAGTCCGTTCAGTTCTCCAGCATCAGGCTTTCTCCACGTCCCCCAGGTCTTGGGTCCTGGTTTTAAGAAACAGAAGGCCTTTTGTACCAGGTTTTTTTTGTTTGTTGTTTGGGCATGTGAAATACTTTTTAAGGTTTTTTTTTTTTTTTAGTTGTATCCACCCTGTTTCAGATTATTTTCGTTGATGTCAAGTATGTATATGATGTGTATGGTTCTTTTTAACCCTTTCCGGTTTTTTTAGAAGAAACTTTGAAGATAAACTTGATACACATATTTTTTTCTTTAGCAACTTGTTATCACTGGAATCAAAGGGAAAAGTAATCTCTTTTTGCATTGGTTGTATTTGTACGTGACAAATAAAGACACTTTGTTCAGCGGATGGGATGGCTTCCTAATGCTGGAGTGCCGTGGTCAGCGTGAGCCTAGGGCAGGCCCCTGACCCTCACACGGCCCCAGTGTTGGGCCTGAACGCTGGGAGGCCCGCAGCCCTCCCTGTGGAGGAAGCCTCAGGGTGTCAGGTGAGCAGCCAGAGGCGGGAACTGAGACTGAATGCGTGTATTTGTGCCTCGTTCCAGAAGCCTTGGATGGAGGCTGGAGTTCTCCTGAGGGGTGCCCTTTAAGTCCTGGAAAGAGGGTCCCAAACCAGACATTGTGACACTTGATGTCTGTGACCATGCGTAAATTCCAGTACACTTGTGCAGGAGTTGAGTAGTTGGGAGTGTGGTTTCTTTCCCCCCTTTTACTATATTGGGTTAGTCAGAATACTCTTGTCTCTTAAAAAGACTATCCCCCTCTTCCCTCCAGTCACAAAAGACAACGGTTCAAAGAAATGGCAACTCACGTCAGGCCTGACAGGACAGGAGAGTTTCTGCGGGGGGGGCTCTGGCCCCTTGAGTGTGACTGATGGCTCTGCCGGCTTCTCTCCCAGAGAGGTTGCTAGCACCCAGAGAGCTGGAAGGAGAGGCAGGAAGTGTGCTGGGGGCTGGGGCTTGGAAGCACTTCCTGTGGATATGGGGCGGCGGGGGCAGCCTCATCGAGCTCCTGCCTGGAGATCACATCTGGGCTGTGGGGAGGGAGGCCAGGGTGGAGACCCAGCCCCACACAGTATTTGCTCTGGCAGGACAATGATCTGGGGTAAGGGAAGCAGGGTTAAAGTGGTCCAGCAGGTACCAGCATGTGGTCGCTGTCCCCGTGTGGATAGGGGGCAGTCGGGCTGCTGTCCTATCTTGGAGGCATCAAGGCCCTTGGGGAGGAGAGAATTTCACTGGGCTAATTGTATACATGTTTCTCATGTGACTAAATTCTGCCCCCCAAGGTCTTTGTTCCTTGAAGGCTGTTTTAATCCCAGGAAGGGGTTGCTTGGGATGGCCGTCCCCTTGGTGCTGGGTAAACAGCCGAGTTGGAAGGGTGTGGGGCCCCTCTTCCGTCCCTGCCGGCTGGGGCCTGTGCCCACCTCTCCTACCCCCCGAAGTCCCTTGGGCCCTTCCTTGGTCTTCCACAGGGGCTGCTTCATGCCACTCCTTCCACGTGTCCCTCCAGTTGTAGCTCAGGCTCCTTCACTTAAGTGGCACTGAATGAAATGCCACACCTCTTGATGAGCACAAGGAGCAAGGGGCACAATGGCTGGACAAGACGGCTTCTGTTTCAGTTGGTCTGGTGTGAAAGGGACCGCATGTCCCATGAGCAGCGGGGCACAATGGCTGGACAAGACGGCTTCTGTTTCAGTTGGTCTGGTGTGAAAGGGACCGCATGTCCCATGAGCAGCGTGGTCACCACATGGTTTCTACTGCTTTGAAAAGTGGTCAGTTCAACAACCTTGATCCTCATGGTGCTGGGGGCCAGGGCGGTGATCTCCTTGTGCACCCAGTTTGCAGTGCCCAGGCGCATGCTCGTGCCCCAGACAGGACGCTGTTGGCATATAGGTCTTTATGGATGTTGATGTCACACTCAGTGATAGTGCTGCAGGTCATCTGGTGGGTCCTGGCAGATGCCGTGCTTGGCAAGGCAGGCAACCTGTTGGTCTCAAGATCCTGTCTTCCCCCTCAGGGCTTGCCTGGAGGGACAAAGCTGGGCTGTCGCTACCAGTAGGGGCACTGTCTCCTGAGAGAGGTTACTTCTGTCCCATGCAGGCAACTGCTGAGAAAAGGTGGGGACTGGAGTGGAGAAGGCCAAGATCCAGGAGTGGCCATCCTGTGGGGACAGAGCTTACCCCCAAAGGAAACCTGGAAGAGGGCCTCAGGACCGTGGAAGTGCTTGCTGCCCATGGTGATGACTTGCCCATCAGGCAACTTACTGGTCTTCAGAGAGGAGTCGGCGGCCACAGCCAGCTCACAGTCAAAGTCCAGGGCCATGTGCCCCAGCTTTTCCTTGATGTCCTGTGTTCTCCCACTCAGCTGGCTGGGGAGGAAAGGGTGATAGGTTAGAGGAGAGGGGCTGTGCTCCTGGCTTCTGCTGGATGGCCTGGCTACGGAGCCTGCTGGCCCGGCTTGGCCCCTCTGACCCAGTGCTCTGAATCCCATCGCCTGGAGAGGGAGAGGGGCCTCTGTGGCAGCCCTCCCATTGCACATGTGTGCGCAGTTTCTGCATTTCCTAGATGAGGGCTGCCACCGCTGGGCCCAGGTCAGACGTCACTGTGCTCGGTGTTGGCCAGTCTAAGGTTGAAAGGAGGAGGCCCTGAGGGAAAGGAGAGGCCTGGAGCCTCTGAAGGAATGGGGCTTTTTACTTTGGAGAAGGGGCTGGGGGTCACAGCCATGAGCCAAGGGGAGGCAGAACTAGAGCTGGCTGCAGCCACCTTGGGGGACTGGGTCCAGCCCTCTTCCACAGTGGACTTTTAGCTCCAGGGTCCTGGAAGAACGTGGTGCCCCAGGCCATGTGCTGCTGTGTGGTCCTGCCCTGGCACAGGAGGGCACTGTTGCACATTGCCCCCCACCCCGCCCTAGTGGTGATGAAGTAGCCATGTTCAGTGAGGATCCTCACGAGACAGGTTGCAGCCTACTAGGTCTAGCGCTGGATGACGAGGGGCAGCACATAGCCCTCGTAGATTGGCACATTGTGACTGCTGTCCTCCCTGGAGCCTGACCTGGTACTTGGGGAGTGGGTTAAAAGGGAGCTTCAGACTGGGAGCCGGAGGACGGCAGGTGGGGAAGCAATAAAATGGCCTGCAATCCTGGGGTGGTCCACTTGCGTTGCATACAGGAAGTGGGGAGGGGTGGGGGTGCAGTGTTACGGGACTGCCAGGTGCATGGTCTTAGTGCCTTCTGCGGATTTGGCCATAAGATGAGGTATTGAGAACAAGGAAAAGGAATGAGTAACTGGCTCTGGGATATAGGATGGACAAAAGATCAGGGGTCTGGTGATGGAGAGGAGACCCAGGGTTTGGACTTGAGGCCAGGCAGAAGGCCAAGAAGGCAGAGGGGTCGGGATGCAGGGTTACAGCAGGGTAGGGCTGAGGCTGGGGGCTCTGGGACACTGCTTCCCCTCCAGTGGTTGGGCAAGAGGCTGATAGCAACAGCCTGTGCCTGGAAGGCTGTGAACCTGGTAGGAATGTTGAGGGTGTCCAGCATGACCAGGGTCATCTTCTCGTTGGTCTTGGGTTGAGTGGCACCTCTGTGAGTAGCTTGTAGAAGCAGTGGTGACAGATCTCCATGGCGTCCCATTGGTGACAATGCCACGCTCCACTGAGCACTTGAGTGTCACGGTGCTGAAATTGCTCAGGGCTCCTGGCTTGCCTACTGCTCCTTCTGGCCCATGCCCACCGTGATGCCCTGGGGAGGGAGAACCAGAGGGGAGGCCTTGGGTGTGCCTAGGGGTGATCGGCCTAGCAGCCCTGCCTCT